GCTTTTCTAACAAGACTATATTTCTTTAGTAAAGTTAGGTTTTTCTTTAATCTTAGAAGAAAGGAATGCTTAACAATTGGAAATGTAAAACAGGAAGTGACTTCTAAAACAATGCTATGAACAAAGCTAAAGAAAAAAAAAAAGTACCGTATTTTGAGTTTCAGAGTCCCAAAACTTGATTTATCAGGAGGTCCATTACTGTATTTTTTATAAATTAAAAGTTTACATTTTTCCATATTTAAAAAAATAGTAAGCTGAAATAAACTGCCACACTTATATGAACTGTGTAATTGCAGGCTTGGAACAAAGACCTCAGGGACAGACATTCTGATGACAATTGCCTTCCAAATGGGAGTTCTGGTCTACCACTATGATGTAACTCTTCCAAGTCACCTGCTGTCTTTGTTTTTAGCAGCCTACAAAGTGTAGCTGGGGTCAACTTCCCTCATGCCACAAGTACGAGGTGATTAACTATTCAGGCAGATAGGTCTCCAGGTTTTTCATCTATTTTTCTACCCTTTTCTGTTTTAAAGGCTCTCTTACTAGTTAGGGAATGAACTTACATTTATACCAACATAATGTGATTCCATGCTCATACCCCCATATCACATCTCTAAGTCACCCACATTTACTAGATTAAGAAAAATAACAATTACATATATATTTCTCTAGTTCTCTAAGATTTTTCTCAGAATAATAGGTCTTTGATCTTCAGATTCCTAAGGTGCTGTATATGGTAAGTAACTTTTAGGACTTTCTATCAATCACTTGTTATGTTAAATATTTGACTCTAAAGTTATTGAAAAGTTAGTTCAAACTAGAAAAAATTTGATAACATTGAGGCCATTGTGTCTCACCATCCTAATCATAGATATTTGTGAATCAGTACTACTCATGTGAGCTCTATATCTTTTTACTTCATTTCCTTTTTCATCAGATATGATGGACTCAGTTACATTACTCTAAATGTGTTTTCACTCCTCAGGAAAATTCTACACTGATGTTTCAGTGAAAAGTTTCAACAAAATTTCTGTTGAAAAATTTCAAAATATTAATAAGGAGAGGAGTCTATTTAATATGTGCCATTCCACCTTATGGAGTAATTCATAAATATCTCTAAAAATAGTTTAGTTAGAAAAATTCTTAATAGTCTGCTTTAAGAATTGACTGAATTACACTGTCTCACTTGAAATTACTTGAGGCAGACAGGACAAACTCTGTGTGCAGCTTACCAGACATCCAGAACTTTATCAGTCATGAATATAGAATGTGAAGCCAGGTTTCTGATCCGAAACCTTGTTTAATGTCCACAGAACTACAAAACAAATGCCACAAATAAGCAGATGTCAAGGGTAGAAATAGAGGGAAACTCTTCAATTTGAGGCTTCACTGAGGAAGTAACCATGTCTTTGATCTGCTCTCAGAATGGAGGACAGTACCTTTTTTCTTGCTGCAATTTCTCTACCATTGTTTTATTTTAGAAAAAGGATCTTATTTCACAATTTGAAGTGAGACTTCATATGGAAACACTTCTGAAAAGGAAGCAGTGAGCTCACTCAGACATGGAATTCAAAGGCTCATAGTGAAGGCCACCATCATGATCTGTCCTCATATGCTCTGACACTCTCAAACATCTACTGAGCTTGATGGTCACCCAGGACTGTGCCAGTGCTTGACACAGAGGAAGTTCTAATAGGAGAATGACAACATCAATAGGAAAAAGAATGAGAAAACCAGCTCCCTGGTCTTGGATCCTCTGTGATAAGAGAAAATCCATGAACGCCAGGGTGAGAGCTGATGGCCACTGCTATTGAACCTTTGCTTAAGTCTAACTTAACACTCACCTACATTTTATTACCCATAATTCATACCAGAGTTCACCCAAAGCAACACAGGCAAAACTATTTTAATCTATGATGATATGTTTCCACATCTACAAATTGAAATGGTGAACATGAGAAAAGGTCATTATCACTCATTATTCAAACATGAACTCTTCTGTTTATTTGAAGAACTAGAAATTAGGACTTATTGATATATACTTAAGGTACATATTTAGTATTTGCTTTGCCTTTAGAAAAACCTCTGTGAACATATATGTTAATAAAGTCCCAAATAGATATAAAATGTATTAAATTACACTACATGTTTTTAAAATTATTATACTGAATATAAATAGTATTACATATTATTCAAAAACTTCTACAGGAAATATTTTTCAAAATAAACTCAAAGTATAAAGGGATAAATATAATTAATATCTTAATCATATAATTAAAAACATTTTTAACACATAAATCAAATAAAGTTACCACTATAAATAAAAGTTTGGACAAAATAGTTGCAATCAAGGTTAAAGACATTAGAGTGTATGTACTCTATAAAGGGAACCTGTTAATTATGAGAAACCTGAAATGCATAAAAGATCATAAACATTCAAAACACAAAGTAAGTGAAAAAAAATAAAGCATGTAGTGACACATTCTTAGTGATCAAAGACTTTACACTAATGCAAATTGGTCTAATGCAGAATGCTGGTGCAGGCTCCATACAAGAGGTGTATCCTGTAGCTAATCCCCATCAGTGATCAGCGACCAGTCTCACAATTTCGTGATGGACTTCTAAAGCCAGTACGCAGTCTTCCATGATGATTTTGGAATGCATGAGTCAACACTACACAGTGAGAGGAGGATTCCCTTAGTCCTGAGGAATTAGGGAGCCTTCAGATCTCCCTGTCACATGTGAGGACTGTGAGGAGGTCTCCGGGGTCTCATTATTGCATTTCCGTGTCATAGGTTAGGTGGTCAGGGCTGGGACACTCTTGTCCTGATCAGGAGAGTTGGGCCCATTGTCTGTGGTGGCTTTACCATCCCCCAGGGACCAACAGCATTGACCACTGGGTCTTCACTGACCACCGACCAACCTCTGCACTGACAGGGAAGTGATGAGAACAATCCTCTGAGGAGCTTGTCTCATCAGTGACTGAAGGGCAGGGCTGGGTAGGCATTTACCTCCCTCTCCACCAGGTGAGTAGATGGTGAGTGTTGGCTTTTAATTTCCCTAGTGGTTTATCCTCCAGACAAAGAAAACAATGGTATTGTAACAAGGACACACCACAGGAACACAGCTAGGGAAAAGCACTGATTATTTGCAGCATGAGAAAGCCAGAAACCATATGAGGTTGAAATGTGGGTCTGATCAATAAGAGTCTGGTTGAGAATTCACTTACCTGATAACACGTCCATCCCTCGTGGTGTGGCTGCGGTGGGCGAGGTAGGAGGGCCCTTTTGTGAGTCTCCCTTAGTCACTGGGTTCAGCTTCCACTGTTCTTTCTTCACAGTGCTCTGCTCTTTCCATACTCTCCCTTTTATACCAGAAAGGCAGAAGTGGAAACTCTGGATCCCTAATCAGAGCCATCCTTGCTGTGCACCTGTGCTCATAGGTGCTGTAGGTTCTTAACTTTCTTGGATTCTGGGCTCCGTGAAAGTGGGGACCATATCACACACTGTCTCTTGCATCTTTTCAGTACTCGGACTTTGGCTTTCCCAGTGCCTTATGGGAAAACAGCACAGAGCAATTCCACTCTCATTGGTTAACTAGAGCTTTTAGTTTCTTTTTTATTTTCATCTGTAGAAGAGGTAAAACAATAATCTACTGTTTTATAAAGTTATTTAAAAAGTCAATTAAACAATACTATCACTAAATGCTTTCTTATAGATATATTCTTCCTACTACTTTCAGGTGAATGCATGCACAGGTAACTTCGTTCCTTTTTCTATTTGGTATTTACAACTCAAATATTGTTGCTTGATTACTTGTGATATTGAACATGTTCATGCTGGGGAACTTGTTTGAATGAAGATGTTTCAGGTCACAATATTCTGGAATGGGTATCCTTTGTCCAGTATTCTCCACTATGGAAGCCACAGAGATCTTGGTAAATTTTGTAGTAGCCACAATTAAAAATGTAAAGACAGTAGAAAAAAATTAAATTCATCTTAACCAAATATTTTTAATTTATTTAACCAAATATACAAAAATATTATGATCTTAACATGTAATCAATATAAATCTGTCAAGATATGTTGTAATATCTTTTTTCATAATAAATCTTTGGATTTTTAATGTAATCTGTACTTAAGGCAGTGTCAGTTTGGAGCAGTGGTGTTTTGGGGGCTCAGCAGGCTCTTGAGACTCATGGCTGCCATGCTGGGATTCTAATATTGTTGGCATGCTTTGTCTGTCTATCTCCTCCCCTACTAAATAGTTAAATTATTGCTCCCATCTCACTTGATCATGTTAAAAAATAATGCTTTAGCAATAAGTCATGTTCTGCCTAACAGAAAAAAAAAAGAACAGCCCTTGACCCAAACATTACTTTCCCTTGATTGATCTTTTATGGATTCTCATGTTGCTTCTCAGAGCTCAGAGTTCTTGAGGTTTATGTTTCAACATAGAATCACTATTTTCAAGTGCCCATCACCTAATAAATAAAAGCAAGCACTCAAATTTTACAGTGTAAAAAATGTGCCAGCATGGTATAAAGTAAGTAAATATCAACATGATTATCTCTCAATAGGCAAAATAGATGATCTTGATTGGTGGTGGTCAAGGGGCGTTCTCAGTAGATGGGAGCTCTAGGTAGAGGGAGGGTACAGGGCTGGCCCCTTCCCTCCCCTCTACTCTGACTCCGTTCCATCATGGGGTCCATTTCCGTAGGTGTTAGGTGTGTAAGACTGTGCTTGAGAGGGACTAACACAAAGGTTGGGAATGGAAGGCCCCACTGTGACCTGTAGGCAAGTGCAGTGATCGGTAATCAAACACAACTGCTTCCATGAAGGACGGTGTGACAGGGGGACTACTGTCCTGCTCGGGCTGTGCTTTTAAGGTAAGTTTTAGCTTCCTGAGATTGACGTCCTCGATTGGCTCAGAACCCCATCATAACATCTTAAGGAACCAGATACTTTGCCTGCTTGCCCTCTCACACCCAGGTCCCCAGAACTATGGAGTGGGGCAATTACTCCATGTACGCCGACTTCGTCCTCCTGGGCGTGTTCAGCAGTACGCGATTTCTCTGGCTCTTCTTCACCCTCATTCTCCTGCTCTTCGTGGTATCCATTGCCAGCAACGCTGTCATGATCCTCCTCATCCACGTGGATGCCGGCCTGCACACGCCCATGTACTTCCTGCTCAGCCAGCTCTCCCTCATGGACATCCTGTACATCTCCACCATCGTGCCCAAAATGCTGGCTGACCAGGCCACGGGCCAGAGGACCATTTCCTTTGCAGGATGCACTGCCCAGAACTTCCTCTACTTTACTTTAGCAGGGGCTGAATCTTTCCTCCTGGGCCTTATGTCCTACGACCGCTATGTCGCCATCTGCCACCCTCTGCGCTACCCGGTCCTCATGAGCCGCAAGATCTGCTTGTTGATCGTGGCAGCAGCCTGGCTGGGAGGCTCTGCAGACGGCTTTCTGCTCACCCCAGTCATCATGCAGTTTCCTTTCTGTGCCTCTCGAGAAATCAACCACTTCTTCTGCGAGGTTCCTGCCCTGCTGAAGCTCTCCTGTACGGACACCTCCAACTTCCAGACAGCCATGTATATCTGCTGCATTCTTATGCTCCTCATACCTTTCTCTGTCATTTCAGCCTCCTACACGAGGATTCTCATCGCAGTTTGCAAGATGAGTGAGGCAGGGGGGAGGCAAAAGGCCATGGCCACCTGCTCCTCACACATGGTGGTGGTCAGCCTCATCTACGGGGCTGCCATGTACACGTACGTGCTGCCTCCCTCCTACCACACCCCTGCGAAGGACAAAGTTGTGTCTGTCTTCTACACCATCCTCACCCCCATCCTCAACCCTCTCATCTATAGCCTCAGGAACAAGGATGTCACAGGGGCCCTGAAGAAGGCCGTGAGGAGGCTTCTATTCTCAGAGAAAGTAACTGCTTTCTGAAGAAAGTGCACTTACTGCTTGAGGTGCAAAACAGAACAGTTTAATAAAAACTTCATCATACACCTTGAGTTTGAATATTCTGCTTGGAAACTTAACACATCCACTCACAAGTCAGCAATGGGGAGGGGCATTCTTGTGATTTGGAAAGATGACTAGAATTTTGAGGATATAGTTATTTTTTGAAAATTATGAGAGTAATCAAAAATGTCCGGATCTCACTGAGCAGGAAGAAGGTGGTTTTAGGCCCATGTCCTGTTAGCCATGCCTGTAGGCAGCTGGAAGTCACAGGGCAGCCTAATCCAGTGTGCTCAGTGAGAACAATGGAAAGGCTAGTCTTCAGCTGCTCCTCTGGCTTCTCAGCCTCTCAGACGCTGTCCCAGATGACCATTGTGAGGAATCATCTTCACAAATATATTGATTGTGTTACAGATATTACTTCAATGTCTAGCTGACTTTCCTATAAGTGATTCTTTTATCTTCCATGGACACATTTCACATTTATTTATTTATTTAAAGTTTACGCATACAGAGAGGAAAAGAGAGGAAGACAGGAACCTCCACAGGGTCTGGTCATGCTGCAGCCCCTACACCGCCTCCCCCCAGCTCTCCATCAGTGAGGGTCACGGGCTTGGCCAGGGGTGCACTCACACTGTTCAGCTCCTCCAGAGATCAGAACCCAGAGCCTTCTCCACCAGATCCAGTATGGCACTTCTGTGTCCTACCACCTGCACTGACCTGGGTGACCCTACAGACACCGTCGGTTTCATTAAGTCCTCGTTATTTGCTTGGAAAAAAAAAAAAAAGTCTGACTCCATAACTT